CAGGCTTTTCAGTTAGCAGTCTTTTTGTTAAAAATGCACATATACTTAGCACAGGGCAGTTCTAGAGAAAAGAACAATTCTATCACCCACACAGACAAAATCACAGTGACTCTTTACACAAACAGGCAGCATACTTTTCTGCAAATAATATGCTCACATATAGTTAACACTCACAAAGATAAAAGAGGAGAGGGATCACAGTTGGCAAAAACACATAGCATACAATACAGATAAAATAGAATTTGTATGTGATATTCCAATTTCCTAAGTGAATTTTAAAAGAGGCTCCCATGGCTCCCATCTGGTGATATTCCAATAACTTCCTTTATTCAACAGATTTCTGCAATAGTTTTTAATGGCTATGATGAACACTATGCTTTCTTCTAATATTTTAATGATTACTCGGCTAATAATTTGCAGAGTTGTCAAAAAGCACCTCAAAGTTTTTTTAAAAAGTATCAATTTTTAAGAAAAATTAATGAATCATACACTAAAAATCTCTGCATATTATGATTGATGGTCACTAGAAATAGCAAAGCCACAGTCTAACGAAGTGTTTTTATGTTATAGAACAAAGAAAAGAAGCAACATAATTTAAGCTTTTTAAGTTGTCCATTAAGAATGACCAAGGCTTATGGCACACCACTCTGCAGGATTGATGATATGAATCCAGCCATTCATTTTACTTAAGAGTAAAACAGAAAAGAAGTGTCTGTCATAAGATCAATAAGCTCAGAATGAAAAACATATTTCCTCAAACAAACTCAGGATGACAAATAATTTCATAAACTAAAAACCTGACTTATTCTCTTAAAGACATTCATAAAAACAGAGAAAGCAGTATGCAATTTTATTTCTGAACTCAAGAAAAATATAAATGAAAGTCTTTAAAATAAATAGGAAACGCTTTTTCCTAATAACACTATAAAAATTTGAATACATAAAAATGAACTCTGTATGGCAAGAATTTATTAAGCTGAAATAAAAGAAGAACAAAATTTAGGGAAATATTTAACATATAACAATGAAATTATTATTATTTTCTAACACATAAATTATGGTATACCAATTGAAGTATTTCAGATAACAGATGTTGCCCTGGATGTGCTCACCAAGTTGTGCCAAGAAATCTGGAGAACAACCACTTGGCACAAC